TTTGTGAAGATGTAATACCATATATTTTATGCTTCTGAAAATTAATTCAGAAAATTCAGACTCTATTAAAGTATTCCTGAATGGGAACTTTTAAGTGGACGCAACATTTTTTTTATCTTTCTTCCTCCAATAATAGCACTCAATAATAGCACTCAGTAATAGTACTCAATAATAGTACTCAATAATAGTACTCAATAATAGCACTCAATAATAGCACTCAATAATAGTACTCAATAATAGTACTCAACATAATAAAACGGTTTTTAAAATCTTGGAATCTTTGGAATCTATGACATAACTGGAGAATTACTTGTCTGATCAGCTTCAAATTTTCACAGCTTGGTCTTCCACTCCTACTTTAGTCCACATTCCTTCCAGGACAAGCATAACTACTTTAGTGTCATTTGATAACATTGTGAGACATTTAATTCCGGACCAACATGACTCACGAAATCGTAATGACACGATTGCAAACAAACCATACCACGGGCGGGGATAGAACCCGGTCAGAGAGTCTCAAAACTCCAGACCGTCGCGTTAGCCACTGGACCAGCTAGCCACAATAAGATTCATCCAACTAGGTATATTTCTACACCATAGGAAGGTTAGCATAGGCACCACTGTGACCACAAATGCAAGTTTTTACAGACGAATCTCCAGCTAGCGTGGCCGTGACGAACTCTAGCTCAAGTCCCCTCAAAGCCGTCAACATGACTCACGAAATCGTAATGACACGATTGCAAACAAACCATACCACGGGAGTTAGCCACTGGACGAATCTTATTGTGGCTAGCTGGTCCAGTGGCTAACGCGACGGTCTGGAGTTTTGAGACTCTCTGACCGCGGGTTCTATCCCCGCCCGTGGTATGGTCCGGACCAACAGCATGGAATAGGTGGATTATCATTCTAACATCTACTTCTCAGCAGAGATATAAACTTCAGGAGAGGTATTAATCTGATGATTACTAACGATATGTGTATCCGTGTTATGATGACACTTATGACAGTTCTCTTGGGCTTCTCTTTCGCTTTGTTGATGAGACAATTACTGGCAGCCAGTTAGAGTATATCTTTGAGATGGAAGACCAGAAGTTGTCTAGTTGAATGGGAATAAGAGAATCGTATTCTATTTTCATCAGTTCAGTTGAATCAAGAGTCTTTTATTGTTCTCATTCTCCCTCTCCAAGGGACTGTTCAGTGTAGCTGTCAAAAATGAAGTCTTCTCCGACGTTTGTTTTTTGATGTGTCGCATTCACCTCAAAAACATTTCTAAATATTTTAATATCATTTATTCCAAGTTGGCGAACTTGTGACACAAAACCAACAATAACTGCAGTTTTTATTACATAATATTGCTGCCATGAGTAATCTACTGGTCTCAGTTTCTTCTCAATCTCAGTTAACAGAGGTTACTTTACTGGACTAGCGGGTAAACCAGTGTCGTTAAAAAAAAAAACATATCTGATGGCAGATTGGGAGATGTTAAGTGAATGTATAGGAGCCTTTGAACCAAGTGAGAGAGTAATTGTGGTAGGGGACCTGAATGCTAAAGTAGGAGAAACTTTTAGAGAGGGTGTGGTAGGTAAGTTTGGGGTGCCAGGTGTAAATGATAATGGGAGCCCTTTGATTGAACTTTGTATAGAAAGGGGTTTAGTTATAGGTAATACATATTTTAAGAAAAAGAGGATAAATAAGTATACAAGATATGATGTAGGGCAAAATGACAGTAGTTTGTTGGATTATGTATTGGTAGATAAAAGACTGTTGAGTAGACTTCAGGATGTACATGTTTATAGAGGGGCCACAGATATATCAGATCACTTTCTAGTTGTAGCTACACTGAGAGTAAAAGGTAGATGGGATACAAGGAGAATAGAAGCATGAGGGAAGAGAGAGGTGAAGGTTTATAAACTAAAAGAGGAGGCAGTTAGGGAAAGATATAAACAGCTATTGGAGGATAGATGGGCTAATGAGAGCATAGGCAATGGGGTCGAAGAGGTATGGGGTAGGTTTAAAAATGTAGTGTTAGAGTCAGAAGTTTGTGGTTACAGGAAAGTGGGTGCAGGAGGGAAGAGGAGCGATTGGTGGAATGATGATGTAAAGAGAGTAGTAAGGGGAGAAAAAGTTAGTATATGAGAAGTTTTTACAAAGTAGAAGTGATGCAAGGAGGGAAGAGTATATGTAGAAAAAAGAGAGACGTTAAGAGAGTG